TGCTGACACGCTGCCCCTCTCCCTCATTGCCTTTCTTTCTTTTAACACAAATGTTTCATCCATGTTCTAGGACAAAAAGACAACTGAAAAAATGGTATTTCTATTATTTTTATATAGCTTATTTTTATAAGGAAATATTAGTATGTTTATCTTAATTTGAACTATCTAAATTGATTTTGTATGATTGAGATTCTATAACAAATAAATTTTATATAAGTATTTTATTCTTAAAAAGTTTTATTTGTTATTTGTTTTTTGGTAAAATATTTTTCATTTGGTTTTGTTTTCACAACTTAGATGCTGTATAGTCAATATTTACATTAGCCATAACAGATTGTGGGTATAGGAAATAATATTTATGGTTGACAAAAATTGGTAAGAATTAGCCAATTAATTTTTTTTAAAAAAATAAAATCATTATTATTTTCATTTTAATCTGGACTATCCAAATTGATTTTGAATGGTCCAGATCCAATTTTATTTTCTTATATTTTAAATAAATTTTTTTATCTTAATATATACATAATCTAAAATAAAGATAATTTTATAAATAACAGATGTAAAAAAATAATTTATTATTGAAAAATATATTATTACATTTATCTTAGTTTAAACTATCAAAATTTTTTTGACTTAACTAAATCATCTAAATAAATTCTAAATGGTCCAAATTCAAAAGATAATAAGTAAATTTTATTTAATTATTTTATTTTTACTACGTTCTATTTTTCATTGGGTTTTGTCTTGGCGGCTTATATGTTTTGTAGTTGATATTTACATTAGTCATAACAGATTACGAGTGTAGGAACTGGTATTTATGATTGACAAAAATTGATTTAAGAATTAACCAAATAATTTCCTAAAACAATAAAATCAACCGCATAAAAATAATAGAAACACCTTTTTCAGTTTTGTCTTTTTGTCCTAAAACATAGATAGAAGATAGAACACTTGTGTTAAGAAGAAGAAAGAGAGGGAAAGGGGCAGCCTGTCAGTAAGGCATTGGAGATTGGAGGCTGAGAAGGATAAAAAAAAAGAAAAGAAGAGAAGCTGCTCTCTTGCTACCTCAACCAACAACTTGTTGGTATATTAGTTGTATTCTTTATTTTCATATTTAGAATGGTCTTATTTATTATAAGTAATTTTAAATATAATATTATCAAAACTAATAAGGAAAATCTCAAAACTCATTCACTTTATAAAAATTTAATAAGTTTTTAACTTCGGTTAAATTTAGATACATATTTTAATTAAGATACTAACATTTCAATAACACACGCTAACATTTAGAAAGAAAAATTTGTGATTAAAAATGAATGACATATCTTATGATTAGGAGTGAAAAATTTATTCTTTGTCAATCTTATAAATAGAATCAGAGTATAATATAGGTTGCGGCCATGTCCAGCAGCAGTAAACTAGGGTGGTAATCTGGGAACCAATTGCAGACAATGGCATATTAATCGGTACAGATTGAGATGGGGGAAAAAAAAAACTATTGATACGGAGATAAAACAAATAAAAGATAAGGAGGGAGAAACATATCTGTAACATGCACACACACGATTCGGTTTCATTACTTGGTTCCAATCCCTTTAAAAACAATATAATAAATAATATAGTTTTTTCTAGTTACAGCTACACCGACGTAACAAATAAAGGGTTTCTGGGCTCACTCACAATACAAAGTTTCCTTTCTCATCTTAAAATACAGTTCTTCGGTCAAAAAATTTCTGATTTAGAATTTAGTAATTTTTGTACTTTTTTGTGGGACTTTCCTAAAGTTGTTTGGGCTATTGGCGGGCCGAGCTAGATAACCTGACGAAATTGCAAACAATAAAAGCTTAGGGGTCAAGGATTAAAATGAAAAGTATAAGTTTTACGGGGATCACTAAGACTTCAGATTGAAAATTGAAGAGTTTTAAGGGTCCCAATATAAAGAAATCCTTGAAACCAGAAATCGGGTCAAACTGTATCCGTAACCTGAAAGTAAGTTTTCATAAGCTATTTTGACTCCTCTGAAGACAATGAATGCAGAATCCATTTACCCAAATTAGGCCCCGAATGTACTACTATTCATAAGGAAAATTACGGTACAGATTTGGAGTAAGAAAGTGGCTTAGAGATTATTTCCAAGCGGGTCCAAAGCAACATTATATTAGAGACCTAAAAGAATTTTGTTTTTTAATTTTTATGAACACATATTGAAAGTAATATTATTTAAAATATTATCGAGTATGGAAGTCCATGAACTACAATGAACCAAAACAGTCAATTACGATTGGTTCAATATGTTTAGGCTGCCAGCTTGATATGGGAAGAAAGGAAAAGTGACTTAAGAATAGTAAATTCAAAGAATGGAGATGAAGCAATGAAGGTTGAATCTAATGGAAGAAGTTAGTCCCCATAACATTGTCAATTAATGTTTGAATCTAGTTGAGAGATGTGGCCATGTTTAATGCCTGATAGTGTCTTGAAAAAAATTACATCTAATATATGGATGCTTGCTAGTGATATTTAAGATCAATTTATTAGTTGTGATTGCCAGATTATGTACAGGAGAGTCTAGTTCATAAATTTAGGTCCTTACACCCTAAATTTTCTTATCGTGGGATCATTGTAGGTCCTGGCATAATAAAATGGAGTAGCAATAGATGTTAAGGATGGCAAAAATTCCTAAAGGGGCTCAAAGAGATCTCAAGGTTGTTATCAACCCAGTAGAGGCTGTATCGACCCAGTAGAGGCTGTAGAGCTAGTGAGCCATACAGTTACAATAATTTCTTTTTTGGGGAGAAATAATGACTATCAATGGTTCTATGATTGTATATATGAAGATGCATTCATCCACTACAAAAAAATTGACTTTCAGCGGCGACAAAAGTCGCCGCTAAAAGTACAAAAGTCGCCGCCGAAAGTTTTTTGGGCGACAAGTCGCCGCTGAAAAGTCGTTGCCGTAGCAGCTGTGGCTGAAAACTTTCAGTGGCGACTAAAAAAGTCGCCGCTAAAAGATACTTTCAGCGGCGACTAATGTCGCCGCCGAAAACACTTTCAGCGGCAACATTTGTCGCCGCCAAAAAGTTTTTCAGCGGCGACAAAAAAGTCGCCGCAGAAAACACTTTCGGCGGCGACACTCTTGTCGCCGCTGAAAGACTTTTTGGCGGCGACAAATGTCGCCGCCGAAAGTGTTTTCTGCGGCGACTTTTTTGTCACCGCTGAAAGTAATGCCTAAGAAGAATTGGCTTTACCAATGCCACGTCATCGCCGTCGGTGCCACGTCATCATCTCCGGCCGCCACGTCATCACCGTCGACCTCCACGTCATCGCCATCGGCGGCCACATCATCACTGCCGACCGCCACATCATCACTAGCCATCTCCACGTCATTGCCACATCACTCCTCCTCGCCACGTCATCGTCCAAATATTTTCACCTTAAATGTGTCTTCTTCCAGGTTCGAACTCGTGACCGCCTCCTTTCGTGTCCAACCTTCTTGCCGCTGAGCCAGATTGAATTTGTTTATTAATATTGTAAAATAAAATATATATTATTATATTATACTTTCAGCGGCGACAAAAAAAGTCGCCGCTGAAAGTCTTGGTTTCAATGGCGAACTTTCAGCGGCGACTAAAAAAGTCGCCGCTGAAGGTCCACTTTCGGCGGCGACAAAAAAAGTCGCCGCTGAAGGTCCCCTTTCGGCGGCGACAAAAAAAGTCGCCGCGGAAAGTCTTGGTTTCAATGGCGAACTTTCAGCGGCGACTAAAAAAGTCGCCGCTGAAGGTCCACTTTCGGCGGCGACAAAAAAAGTCGCCGCTGAAAGTCTTGGTTTCAATGGCGAACTTTCAGCGGCGACTAAAAAAGTCGCCACTGAAGGTCCACTTTCGGCGGCGACAAAAAAAGTCGCCGCTGAAGGTCCCCTTTCGGCGGCGACAAAAAAGTCGCCGCGAAAAGTCTTGGTTTCAATGGCGAACTTTCAGCGGCGACTAAAAAGTCGCCGCTGAAGGTCCACTTTCGGCGGCGACACTTTTGTCGCCGCTGAAAGTCTTAGTTTCAGCGGCGACTTTTTGGTGTCGCCGCTGAAAGTCCACTTTCAGCGGCGACTTTTTTTGTCGCCGCCGAAAGTCGTCGCCTAAAGTCTGTTTTTTTGTAGTGATCGTTTCTCAACATTTGAACCATCTGATCTCTCTCTCTATTTATATATATATATATATATATATAGTAAATGAGTTGACTGACTAGTATAAATTTGAATATTGTCAAATCCAAACAGCATAACCTTTTAAATATGATTTCTGATTCATAAGGTTTGAATACTTGATACTGTTCAAAAGGGAGGTATAAATTGTTTAATAATATCTATTCAAAATTTAATTATAAGTAATCACAAAATAGAAAACTTTTGGCGATAAGGATTACAAAATTTTTAGTATAAAAAAGATCTTAATTGTGACTTCAATAACTTTGATATTGTAGATGAAAATTTTAACTTTGAAAATTGCATTTAAAAATTCTAACTATGAAAGGGAAAGTTGAAACATTATTGTGAAAATACTTCAAATATTTAACTTTTGATTAAGATTATTTTTCCCATAAAGTCAAACATTTTTGTCTACCCACGTATATTTTACTTGAGAGTATCAAAGTTATACTTAGGATGAAACATAGTAGGTTCCAATTATAATAAAGCCATTAATTGTTTGCTTTCTTCGATCTTGTTTCCAACTTTACATCTTTGCAAGAGATACCGAAGTTTATCGGATGATAAGAACTCTTGGACAATTGTAAAAACTAAAAAGGGTAAGAAAGGAGAGTAGAGTTTTCAAATAGCAATTCATAAGAATTTAATGAATGAATACAAATATTTCTCCTATGTTCTTAATCTCAAGTCCCACTCAAAGAGAGAGGTTAAAAGAATCAAATTAACTGACATAACCGGAAGAAAAGAATAAAACAATGAAACAACAATCTTAGACATCCAAGAAAACAAATTAGGAAGAACATGTTTAATAAAAATCATCGTCATCAGCGTCAGATTCTGATCCTGGTTCTTGCATCTTCCAAGTACCATCTGGCTGCTGAACCAAACCCTTGTTTTGGTCAATCCTCCAAGCCTCAGGAACATGATACTCATCCTTCAGAGCACCCATGCCTTTGTTCACAAGTGCAATGTCCCTTTTAACCTCTAGATTAAATCCTCCTTTGCTCCCTTGTGTTCCCGCAACTCCATGCAAGTAAACCTCCAAATTATGCCAACTCTTCAAATCACCTGGTTGTTTTAAGAAGTTCGATTCGTCAGTATCGATCTCCAACTCTTCTCCCACTTCTGCATAACCCAAGAAAGGATGCCTTGGAACAATATCGTTTTTATTACGGATTCTTAGTATCCGAAGATCCTTTTGACTTGCAGAAAACTCCTGAAAGTCTGAGTCTCCAACTCTAGGGCAAGCAAAAACAAAGGCTGTGACAGAACAAGCTTTTTGGGGTTCATTTTCTGGGACGTTACATCCATTTGTGACTATGTCCGCTGCATTTAGTGTTGCAAGTGCTGCGCCTAAGCTGTGTCCAGTAACAGTTATGCTTATTTCCTCATCCTTATATTTGTTAACCAGTCTTCTAATCTCAGTCAAGACCTGCATAATAAGATCGATGATGAATATTAGACATTTCCTTTCATGAATAACATATATTAATGAGTTAAAATAATAAATCTTCCATTTCTGTCACACTCACAATCTAAAACATATGTATTGTACCTGAGTTCTAGCACTGGTTTTGGTGAAGTCTGGTTGTAACGAGTTAGTTGCTGTGTAAACGGAGTAAAAGCCTCGGTGTACTTTACATTCAGAGTCATCCCCAAAAATGTATGGAGCGTCGTCCAAAAGGAACTGAAGATCTTTGATCCATTCCATGACCTGCTCAGTTCCTCTCCAGGCCACCACAATGTCCCTCCTCCCTAACACGGCTTTGCCTTCATCGGTGGCCACCGCGACATACCCTATCCAGTTTGATTCTTCAACATCGTCTAGAATATGAAAATCAATCTCTGAGGTTGCGTAGAGGAACTTCGTCACCTTATACTTGAAAGGGTTTCCTTTTTCTAAACCCACCCTGGAAAAGAAATCTCTTTTTCCATAACGGCTTCTTCTTGCATACTTGGATGCTTTATCAGAGTTAAAAGCATCATAAGTAGCTTCAGCCATTTCTCCGTAGTGTATTATGTACCTACGGAGATTGAAATCAAGTGGGTCTAACAAATCCTTCCAATTATTTTGGCCACTGAGTTCTCTCCAGTTTGTTTCGATGCTTCCAGGTCTGGCCATCTGCTTTTTCTCTTCCTCAGATTGATCGGCCACCTTATGAGAACTCATGGTTTTGCTTGCAAAGCTACCCATCTTCTTCTTCTGCTCCTCCTTCTCTTTCTTCTTCTTCTTCTTTCTGTTCGCCTTTCTTTGAAATAAAATGTTTTGTGAACTCAGTGAGGTTGGTTTATGATGAGGAAGCCTGATAGACTGCTTATATACTTGAAAAACTGACCTCGTCCTTCGCTTGCATGGTCAAAGTCGTTGAAACTTCATTTGAAAAGTAGTCGCCTTCTGACCAAATCATGCTGACTGAGTCCCTCCTTCCTTTGCATTCGTATAGAGTAGTTTCGTACGAAGGGAAGCTAGCGCTTGACTATTATGTACTTCGGTTTATACATGCATTTCATTCGTGCTGAGAGAGTCTAGGCTTCACATGGTTGACTATTATGTACTTAGGTTCATTTTCGTTTTTGAATTCGTAAAACGATAAAACTTTTCTCTGATGATTACGCGATTTTTCTAAGAAAGGGATTGTGATTGGTGTGTCAGTACTATACTGTTTCGTTTTTTATTCTGGGGTGGTCCATGCGAGATTCCCAGCTAGTTGGACTGTTAGTTTTGACTGTAGCATTACAGCGACCTCGGTTCACTCTGTCGTTATCAATAATATCGGCCAGCTTGTTTTGACGCTGGATATTTAACTAATACAATTGAAAGAATATTTTCTACTTCTTGTTTTTAATTGATGATTTATGTGGACGAAAGTTTAATTCCTTTATCTTGCATAATAGTATATGAGATGTAGTGGCCACGTGTCCATGTGGCCCATGTTCAAAATGAGTAACTTAAAGTTGATAATTGTGGATCAGGTCGTAGAAAATGTTACATTAATGCAAAATGGTAATGCCAACTTAGTTAGTTGACAATTCAAATTAAACGTGTTTAGCGCAACCACGCTGGTCTTTTTGGTCTCAATTATTTTCATTAACGAAATTATTTGTGTCTCATCTGACCATAGTTTAACTTTGATCAACAAATTGTTTTATAAACGTGAAAGGGAAAAGAACGTCCTCGTGGCTTTCCATGAGTCAACCTATAAACCTTGCGAGCCAAGCATTTGCCGATTTATTAAAGAATAAAAAGTTACAAAACATTTTCAATCATGAATGAAATAACAACTCTCAAAAACTCATGTAACGTAGCAAATTTAGGAATCAAACAGCGACATATATACATACTACCTCCTAACCTTATTTGTAAACTATAAATAAGATTTTATACCTCTCTTCTTATTACGTATACTATATATAATATCATACCGAGCTCTATGTTTGGTTTTATATTCTGTGATGGTCCGTGTGAGGCTACCAGCTAGTTGGACTGTTAGTTCTGACTGTAGCAGTATAGCCACCTTGGTTCGTTTTGTCGTTTCCAGTAATATTAGCCAGCTTGTTTTGACGCAGAATATTTAACTAATATAATTGAAAGAACATTTTCTACTTGTTTTTAATTGATGATTTATGAGCACAAAAGTTTGATTCCTTTATCTTGCCATGCGGCCCACGTTCAAAATGAGTAACTTAAAGCTGATAATTATGGAACAGGTCTTAGAAAATGTTACATTAATGCAAGATGGTAATGCCAACTTAGTTGACAATTCAAATTAAATGTGTTTAGTACAACCACTCTGGTCTTTTTTTGGTCTCAATTATTTTCATTAACGAAATTATTTGTGCCCAATTTCACCATAGTTTGGATCAACAAATTATTTTATAAACGTCCTCGTGGTTTTCCATGACTCAACCTATAAACCTTTCGAGCCAAACATTTTCCAATTTATTAAAGAATAAAAAGTTATAAAACATTTTTCAAGCATGAATGAAATAACAACTCACAAAAACTCATGTAGCGGTAGCAAATTTAGGAATCAAACAGTGACATAAATATTTTTAAGGAAAAATTAATCTTTTAGCCTTTCAAGTTTTAACTCAGTTATGACTCAATCCCTTAACTATGATTCGATGTAATTCAATTCTTAAACTTTTAGCTCAGTCAAAACTCAATCCTTTTTTTTCCCTATTTGATAAATTAATTTTACATGGCAACAAAGGTTGCTGACATATTTTAAAGAAGGAAAAATGATAGAAACATACCTGTTAATTTTTTTTTTTTTAAAAAAACAAATAGGTCACTTGGCTACTCTTGTAATGGTATTGACTACTTTTATAATAGTTTTGACAAGTCAAAATCTATTAAAATAACTTATTTTTCATTTTGAAATTCATGAGGTATTTTTCTGTCATTCTCTCAAAAAAATGCTGATGTGTGTTCCAAATAAGCTCCACATGGCTGCTAAAGCAAATTCGTGGTCTTCTTTATTAAACCCTGCCCTTTGTCCCCACCAGACTGTCAATCAACTTTGCAGCTCCATCAGCTCCAACGCATCTGCAAGCTCCATCGACGTGTCCTCTTCTCTCTTTCCTCCATCTCTCAACCTCCCACTTCTCTTCTTCCTTGTTTCCTTTCTCTCCCCCCCCCCCCCGGGCCCAAAAAATAAAAATTCTTGCTGAAAATATGTTCTTGCTTTGGTGAGAGGAGGGAGAGGCGATTGGAGCTATATGTGTCTAAAATGGTTGGAATTTTTTTTTTTTAACAGGAAAGAAAGAGTAACTCCTCATTTAAAGAAAAACAAAGAAAAAGAACAGAGAAGGTAGGATGGAGAGGGAGGAAGAGACCTTGAATTGTTCCCTATTGCACAAAGGGAGACCTCACAGCAAGGACTGTTAATTTGAGTCTAGAAGAGTTAGGAAGCTAGGAGTTAGGAATTTTGTCTTCGACTCATGATAGGATAGTTTGTGGTCTTGAAATAATTAATGGTGAAATGATTCTTGCTTGGGAAGCAGCTGTTTGTGATCTTGTGTGGGAGCTTGCAGATGCGTGGGAGGTGTTAATGGAGCTGCAAAGTTGATGCACAGTTAGGTGCGGACTGGTGAGTTTAAGGACGGCGGCCAATTTGCTTTAGGAGCCATGCGGAGCTTATTTTGGTACACACATCAATATCTTTTAATATGTCAGCAATCTCTTTTGCCATGTACAATTAATTTATCAAATGAAAATAAATTAAGGACTGAGTTTTAATAGATTTAAAAGTTTAGGAATTGAGTTATACTGAATTATAGTTGAGAGATTGAGTCATAATTGAATTAAAACTTGAAAAACCAAAAGATTAATTTTTCTTGCTTTCAAAAAGCGATTTTTGTTTGATTCATTTAAGGGAACATTATCCCAAACGTTCAAAGAAATATCCTATATGACACAAAATCAAAGAAATCAGCCATATTGGTCACAGCTGGTGAGGTTTTTGATTCTAGTCTGTTGAGATTAATTCAGTTAGAGTTCAAAAATTTTTATGCTTTATAGATTATTGATGTGTTTAGGGAGGGTAATACTTGTGCAGATGCCTTAGCTAATTTGAGTATTGTACATGGTCTGCCTCCTCAATGTGTGAAACAACATTTGTACAATGATTTTTTGGGTGTTGCTTTCCCCCAAATGATAATGAAATAAGATGATGGGCTGATGACCCGTACTATTCCAAATATAGATATAATCCTGATATTATATACTTCTTTGCTTTTTAATATAGGACCTAATTGAAGAGTTGATATTGCTCCAGTATATAAGACCTATTTCATATGTTTATGATTTTTTTTTAAATTAACCCTATTGATATTGCCCCGACAATAACCAAGTAGGAGAGAGGAAGGAAATTAAGAAAAATGCTTATGGTATTTTAGGAAAAACATATCATACTAACTAATTTAATTAACATCTTTAATCTAGCCAAATTAATTAATTATATCTTATATTAAGAACCGGAGGAGTATAATATCATACTGAGTTCTATGTTTATAAAAACTACTATTATTATTTGGTTTTGGAAATAAAAATTATCCCAAAAAAAGCACGAGAAATGGAGAAGAGGATTAGGAACATAACTAAAATTTAATTTAATTAAATATCTAGTGCAAAACATAAATTAAATATATTATTCGTACATTATAAATAATATAGCTCATGCTGCAATACATTTAGTTTCTGTTATATAGGATGTCTCTTTCTTTGTTTCATATTTAGAAGCAGGTGATATCAAGGAGAGTTTGTTCAAAACAAAAAACCAAAAAGATGATATTAAGGAGAGGAAAGATCCCCATCTTGTCCGCCATTTTCTTTCGCTTTCTGCAAACTTACAAGATGTTATTAATTCCACCTTTTGGGATTTAAATGTCATTCTCCATGATTTTATCCGAAAGTTCCCAATACATAACCTTCTATTGTCTTCAGTCTTTTTTATAGCTTTATGTTTTGCAAGTAATACATCATGTTTATCTGATGAGAATTCTAGTACAATTGTAATAAAAAAACATAACAAGTTTTAATATTGCATTAATGAATTTCATAAAATGAATGAATACAAATATTTCTCTATTTTTTAACACTAGGTTCCACTCAGATATTTAGATTGGTTAAAAGAATCAAATTAATAATTCAAGCAAATAAACTAGCAATAGTATATTCAGTAAAAATCATCATCCTCAGATTCTGATTCGGGTTCTTGCATCATCCAAGTACCATCTGGCTGTTGAACCAATCCTTTGTTTTGGTCAATCCTCCAAGCCTCAGGAACATGATACTCATCCTTCAAAACAGCCATGCCTTTGTTCACAAGTGCAATGTCCCTTTTAACCTCCAAATTAAATCCTCCTTTGCTCCCTTGTGTTCCTGCAACTCCATGCAAGTACGCCTCCAAATTATGCCAACTCTTCAAATCACCTGGTTGTTTCAAGAAGTTTGATTCGTCAGTATCGATCTCCAACTCTTCTCCCACTTCTGCATAACCCAAGAAAGGATGCCTTGGAACAATATCGTTTTTGTTACGGATTCTTAGTATCCGAAGATCCTTTTGACCTGCAGAAAACTCCTGAAAGTCTGAGTCTCCAACTCTAGGGCTAGCAAAAACAATGGCTGTGACAGGACAAGCTTTTAGAGGTTCATTTTCTGGAGTGTTACATCCATTTGTGACTATGTCCAC